CTTTTGGATACTTTTATGGATGATCTGAAATAATTAATGCAGAACACAGAAATATATTTGGTAGTTTTAAACAGCCTAAAATGTCGTGATGTATACATTACATGTAATGAATACAAAGGAAGTAATTTTAACTTCTTGCATTGTATCCAGGGATAGTAGTTCTCAGATGTAAGAAGTGTGACTGTAGTGAAGTTGAAGTGCAAGCCACTTTTCAAATCAATTTTGGTGAACAGTGAAAGCTTTTAATAGTTTTGTCAAAATCATTACATTTCTGGTTGGAATTCACTTGACACCTCGTTCCCTTTTACTTTCAACGTCTAAGTAGTATGTTTTCAACAAGGTAGAGCCGTCCATAAGTGAACTGCTGCCTAAGCTTTAACTCCCAATGTTCAGTCAACAGTCTGTTGTGAAGAAATATTCTAACTTGTAAAGTTTTGAAATGCTGCATAAAGCAAATAAATTCCATTTATTTAAGAAATTCCTGCAAGTGATAACTGGCTCTGTAATGTCATGTGAAATTTCCAGTGTTAATTTGTTTTTTGAAAGGTTATGACTTTTTTGTTTGTTTCACAGAAATTTTCAATTTGGTAGAGTTTGAGTGCCAAGAAATGAACTTGATTTGTAATCCTTAATGCAAGTCTTCAAAAATCTGTGCTGTAACAGTCCTGTTATTAAATAAACAGATAATACACAAAATTAATTATCCCAGAAATAGTTTTGAACTGACTTGTAGTTCAGGTGGCAGGACTGAACATGCTCTTACAAGTTAATACTGTAACTACCTGTATTTGTACAGCCTTATGTACATTTGCACTTGCCCTCATGCAATTCTACATTGTTAGTTCTTGTATAGTTGCATAAGTAATAGTGTAGTCAGGCTGCTAGTGCCTATCAACGTTTTTTAAACAATCTGTTGTCTGGAATTGAACTACAATACTTAAAATGCTACTGTTACTGCCACCATTAAAAGAAATTATGGGGAAACTATCGAAAAAAGCCTAATGAAGGCAGCAACTGAAAAATTCCCAGATTAGACTGATGGTTTACAAATGTCTTATAGTTCACCTTATTTAATTTAAACTAGAAATACTTTTTTCATCAATGCACAAATTTCAGCCAACTTAAAATAACTTGCTATGCAGTGAAACACACAATCACAGGGGGAGAATAACCACTGTAGTTAAGTTTAGATTAGTAAATGTTTGACATCATTAATACCTGATCTATGTGTGGTACTACTGTAAATAAAACATAGTATCCCCATGTGAACAGTTTGTCAATAAATTGCTTGGGTTTTGTAGTAATCAGTTTCAAATTTCACTTAGTGGAATGGATGGGTAAGGGGGGGGTGTCTGTGTCCTTGAAACTGTGTTCTGAAGTAAACAACAAAACTTATGTAAAACTTGCCTTTACCCTATGCTTTATGGAGGATTGACTTTGAAAGATGCCAGATGGGATATTGCAAACTCAGGTCCCTGCTTTATGGAATACAGCAGGGGAAACAACTTGCCAGTCTGTTGTACCCCTGTTGGTAACTTGAATTATCATCTTGAGTATTTTTTTTTTCACAGTTAAATCCTTTAACTATGAGAGTGGTTGTTAGCTAGTGTTTTCTGTAGATACTGAAGATCTCAAATGCATCTGCTTTTTAACTTGTTGCCAGTTAAACTCTGTGCTTTGAGGCGAGAGCTAGATGATTAATACTTCAAAGTTTAAAAGAAAAACAGAGTAGACCACCTGAATATAGTTTTATGCCCAGTGACACTGTTGAAACTAGTGAAGGTGCTTTCATGCTCCCATAGCTCCCTTTTAGTTTACTTGCTGTGCGCCCTTTCACCCTTTACCTCTTCATTGCTAGCTGCCACAATAATGTTAAATTCAAGTCCTCCAGTTTTTGCTGTCCCTAGAAGCTGTACAAATGTTTTGGGGTTTTTTTTTTTTTTTTAGTATCTATCTGGCCCAAATAATTGCTTTTCTTCTTGCACTTCCAAATCGCACATTTGTAGATATGTTAAATATACTTTTAGTTACTACTTGTTTACATTTGAACAAGCTATGTATCTGATTACCTGAACATACCCATTTTGGGGTATATGGGAAACGAGACCAGGCTAAGAAAGAATACTTGATTTTTTTTGGTCATCCTTGATTCTCGGCCTAAGTATTCAAATGCTCAGTTGTGATAACTTGTACAGTCACGAAAAGTAGTGGTTGTGTCCAGCTGTTTCTTTGGAAAGAGTCAGGAAAGGGTTTGGATTGCTAGCAGTTGGTCAAAAGGAAGCGTGGACTAAATTTCTTGGAGTTTATGGATCTTATTAAAAACCTTGTATGCCAAGAATTTAATTCACTTTTTTATTTTGTATTTGTAAAAATAAATAAAATCCTTTTAATACTTGATCAAAGTGGGTACTAATGCTTTTAAGAAAAAGCTGAAATTTGTGGATATATGTGTATCTGCATCTGTATTAAGTACTGCAGTCTATCAGTACTTAAAGGGGGCTTATAAAAAAAGATGGTGGCAAACTTTTTAGCAGGGCCCGTTGCCACAGGACAAGGGGGAATGGCTTTAAACTAAAGGGGGGCAGATTTAGACTAGATAGAAGGAAGACATTTTTTACGCTGAGGCTGGTGAAACACTGGCACAGGTTGCCCAGAGAGGTGGTGGCTGCCCCATCCCTGGAAACCTTCAAGGTCAGGTTGGAGGGGGCTCTGAGCAACCTGATCTAGTTGAAGATGTCCCTGCCCAGGGGGGTTGGACTAGATGACCTTTGGAGGTCCCTTCCAACCCAAACTATTCTATGATTCGGAGATGAAGGAAAAAGGCTGAAGAGAGGTCAGACATGAAACATGACTTGCTCTACTCCTAGCAGTTTATTTCCTGCAACCAGAAAGTAACTGTCAAATCTGATCTGTTGTCTTTCTCTGGAGGCTAACATGGGTGTGTACCGGTATGTTTTGTTCCCAGGTGCGTGTTTCTATATTGCTATAATACTTCTGGCATTTAAGGAACAAGGTGGCTATATTAAGTGGATGAACTTAACTTTCCCTTCCTTTCTTCTACCCTTGTGATTTTTTTCCTCCATATGCTTTATTCAGGATAGTGCTGATTATTACTGCAGCTTAAGGCAAAGTAAGTAACAAGCAACACAAACTGGTCCTCAAGGCTAACAGGCTATATAGAGCTTTTTTTTAAGGTAGGAATGACTCAACTACTCTTTATTTTTCTTTATATAACAGAGATTAGGATAGAGAGATCTCATTATCAGGCAGATAAGTGGGATCTAGGAACTAACACTAGTAACTCCATGTGGTGAGCTAGTAAAAGTGCTACCATATTACAGTTTAATAAGCTGAAGAAACTGTGATGTATAAGCAGCAAGCCACTATAGTTTATTACTATTGAAATCTTGATTGACAGTGCACATAAAGCCAACACCAAGTTGATTAATATCAAGTAAAAAAAAAAAAAGAAACTGAAAAACCACTCACCTAAAAATTTCCAACAGAAACTCCCCACCCAACTATAGAATATCTGGATTCTTGAAACTTACTAACATATTGAAATCTTGATTGACAGTGCAAATAAAGCTAACACCAAGTTCATCACATCAAGTTGATCAACACCATGTAAAAAAGAAACAAACAACGACCCACCTAAAAAACCCAATGGAAACTCCCCACCCAACTATCGAATATCTGGATACTTGAGACACATTTCTTAAGATTTCCCCATTCTTCTTATAGGCTGGGGGGTTTTAAACCAGCTGAAATACCATGACTTAGAACAACATAAAAGAGATGGTGATGAGTTACCACATTCACGTAGCTAAGATTAAGGCCTCTCCCCTTGTGGCTGCTGTGACTGCAGAACTATATTGTCTAGGAGTTTCATGGACAAAGAAATCATTCTCCTTGGCCTAAGAGTGAGGATTACTCTACACCTTGAAAACAACACTGCAGCCAAGGCCCAAAGCAATCAATAACCTCATAAATGAGACTGGGGGTTTCATACGTTTTTGCACTGGGGCAGGGAGGGTACCTTAATAAAAAAAGTTCTGAGCCAGCCAGCTACATTACTGTATTCTAAGTCAATTAACCAGTTCCAAGTAATTCAAATATGGGCTTGTACTACAAGTAATCTTGGTAAAAACACATGTGGGTTTTGTTGTTGTTCAGGTGACCTGGCTGAAATACTGTGGCACCTGTATTGCCTAAGCAACCCAATCCCAAACCCCACCATGGGAAGGGACTTCAGCAAGGTGGTGTACTCCATGCTTATTTGATTGCAGGTGTGTAAGCAGCTGTAGTGCCTAGTAATAAAAAGGGGGGGTGGTGTTTCAGAGCAATAAAGTAATACTACCTTTAAATGTAGATGTTGCTATTCTACCAACTCTTGAAGTACATCCTCACTTTTATGCCCTCTTTACAAGAAAATGAGGAAGCTATGATCCCAAATGTTGGCTAGGCCATAAGCAGTAGGATCACTGTCTGCTCTTTTGTGAAGAAGTGCAGCTTTTGCACGTTGCCCTATCTGAAGGGTCTGACTTTTTTAATTGCAAAAGCACTACAGCTTCCCTCACGTTTCCTGGTCCAGATGATACCCTTGTGCTGCTGTTAACCCACAACTCCTAGGCATCTAAAATCAAAAGTTTTCATGTACATGGTTCAAATCTTCTGGTATAATATACTATCCTGCAAATGACTGTAGAGCCCGCAGAACTAGTGCCAGGATACACCTTCAACAAAGATTCCAGATAGCACAGAGGCATCCAGGTAATTCAGAGGGCTGAAGCAGCGGAATGAGTATCATCACCCACATTGCACACAGTGTGTGTGCTTAGTGGCATAAAAGGGCTTCATCAGGCTGATTTAAGCTTTGAAAGGCTCTATACTCTCCTATATTTCAAAAAGTGAATTTGCTCTGTATTACCACATTAAGGCTGGAAAGCTTCTTTTTTTCCAAATGCCCCCATACGTAAACAATAAGAAGCTTACATATTAGGGCTTAATCATTCTACTCATTTATTGTGAATCTTCTGCAGCTTCCTTCAAAGCAAACTTGTTCAGGAAAAAAAATGTTGATCATAGGTGGGTTCTCCTTACCCACTTCCACAGGTTTCTCTGTTGGGATGAAGTCAAACTGGACAGCAGCATGCTTACCGACTTCTTACCTCGGTAAGAAGTACTGGTTTCAAGTATGCTTTTGCTCATCTTGCTGTGGATTATGCTGTAGAGTACCTGGCCACCGTTCTACAACACAGAAGGTTGTTAATGGAGGGGAAGAGCATCTCCATCTTCAGACTTTGAAATTAATCTTTTCATCTTCTTGTGCATATCCTCTTCTGAATGGTGCTTTGAATAAGGCAGAGTATCTAAAAATCTCTTCAATGGTGTAACTTAGCTGCCTTTATTTTAACTCTGTTGTTGTATTTTGAGAATGAAACTATGGTATTGGGCAGTCTGTGAGCTGCGTAGTAATGCACAGTGTAGAAACATCTTCAAGTACATCTTTGAGCAAGAGAGTGAAAATGATACATCATTTTAGGGAGACGTTCTCGTCACAACTGCAGCCATTTTATAATGTAGTAATTTTTCTTTCCAATCCTAAGCAATGATACTCCATTCTTGAGAATATGCTGTCCGAGAATAAGAACAGTCTCGGGATTAGTTACTCGAATCCCATTTATTGAAACTCCACCATCTGTAATTTTCCGATACCTTAAAAAAACGAAACAAAACAAAAACAACAACCAGTAATTGCAAGAAGCAGCTATTTATTGCTGTTAAGTATTGAAAGTTGAGTTAAGGGTTTTTTGGTTGGATCCATAATTGAATAAATTTTAATTCTCTTGCACTTTACTTTTAGTCCAGGTCAAGAGTGACTGAAATTAACCTTAGCCTCTACCACTCCATTCTTTCTGAGAGGTGTAAGGAAACTTAGGCTGTTGCCTTCGACTGTCCCTTCATCAGGTGTAGATTTTACAGCTAAGGTACATGAGACTGCATTATCCTACACTTTCACATCAAAATGGAATGAGGCCACCTGCTCCCCTCTTCTTTAATGCTGGTACATAGATCACTAGCCTGTTTCTACTTGATTTGGCTGTCCTAATCGTTTAACTTCTGAAAGCATACCACTACAGCCTGTTTATGTGAGGTATTACCGAAGAGCACAAGTGATAACATACCCACTAGGTCCATCTGGAATGGCATTTGCTTTGCGACACAAGTCAAGAACATTCATTCCAGGTTCAAACATCAATTCAGCTGAAGGAGCTTGTCTAAAAAGTTCCTGTAACTCTTGGTCAGACATAGCTTCCAATGCCTCCACGCTGCTGTAATAAAGGGCCTTAGTACACCTGTGAGAACAAAGATCATTCAAAATACAGTGCTACTCTCATCTTCACACAAAGCGCTACTGAACTAATCAGATTCCCCTCCCCAACTTCTTCTGAGGGTCCACACAGTAACAGAAGTACTTAAAGTACACCCCAATTTTTATTTTATCGTAACCCACTGCACTGCAATTTTTTTTTATAGTTAATGTATTTTTAAGTCTACAGAATTACTACGTTTTTCTCTTTTAACAGCTGAGCAACAACTAACTACATGAAAATAGTCCCTGAAAAGCTATGGATAATTACCATTGAATAAATCTGAAAGAAAACTGCTCGACAAATCAAACTTCACCTCTTAGCAGATTCTAGCCCCTCTCTACCATGAACAAGCTTGGTTACTTCTGCAGCAAGTCGTTTCTGAGGGCCCCATTTTTCAGGTTCTTTAGCATGCATTTCCATGATGTGGTCAATCTCCTCAAGAGGAATGAAGGTGAAGAGTTTCAGGTATCTACGAGCAAGGAAAAAATTATTTTGTCTATATGGCCATCATTACAGATTTCCTACCTTTGTCATTCAAGCTTCACTAGCTACCCTAAAATGATTCTTAATTTAAGAAATCCGTATTACAGATACTCTGTCCTTTCAAACAACTCTGGTTTTGCCCACATGCTTCAGCTTACCAGAATAACTCACATTTAGCATTCCAGTTAGGGTAATGTCTTCAGACATAAGGTAGTGTCAAATGCTTTTATAAAGTTTGTACTGCAATCAACAACTTGGTTTTCTCTTGAAACATTTACTTTACAGAATTTATTGCAATTGTGTCAACTAACAAGGTTTTATATTGTATTCTTACTAGTTGCACAATATGCTAATGGAAAGTACCACTGCCATTCTGTGGTGATCACGGGACAGAAGTATGCTATGTATTGACGAGTATCTCAACAGGAAGATTATTAAGGATAATCAAGAATTTAAAGGTGCCTATCTAAGCACAGTCCATTTTAATGGACTTGCACTAGTATGAAATGCAGTGTATTAAAAAAGGTACCTTTACTGTTACAAAGTCTGAACAAAAGAAACATTTTAATGTCAAGTACCCATATACCCTTCTTATCAGTCTGAAAAGTGTTGTGGATGCAGAACCTGAATTTGAAATATCAAGGCATAAACCTTTGAAAGAGGTAACTGAATTATGAGACAGGTCACAATATGAAAGGGAAATACATGTCTGAGGTTTATGAAGACTCAGATTTGACAGTAATATTGGAGTTTAAAGAAAAGCCGGTTTAAGAGAGAACATATAGCAACTTACTAAAATTAAAGTAATGCCCTGAATAAAGCTATCGGCTATTTATTTTCAGCCACCTAACTGGCACACCAGCATGGAGGCTAGCCATCAATGAAGGAAACCTGTCAAATGGTATTTCTCGTATTTTCGCTACCCTTTCATGTTCTCATTATATGATTTTAATATTTTTACACTGGTCAGTAAGAATATGAGTTATGTGTGGTTGACATGGACTCAGAGATAGCACAATGAATCCAAGATGAGGTTTTGCTCCTTGGAATTGCTCTACCCTAGGTAATCATTATTCAGAATTTTGTCTTTGTACATGCTACAGCTTTAAGTAGTAGTTGGGCAGTGTTAACTGTCTCCTAGGCATGTTTTTAGCTAGACCAGTGGTCTCCAAAGTGGGGTGCCAGCACCCCAGGAGGTACACAAGATGATCCATTGGGGTGCAGGAAGAAAATTTTAGAACTTCAGTAGTACATTTATATAATCTATAAATAAATATACATGTATTGGGAGTGCATGCTCAAGATTTCTTTTTACTGATAGGGGCGCACGACTGCTAACCTACACAGTTAATACAATCATAAATAGGAACTTCTTGGCTTTTTCCTAACAAGGCACTACTTCAATTCACTTAGGGATATGCAGTTTTTAATGTGGTGCAGTTCTAGAAGCTGAACTTTATGTGTTTGTTTATAACCAGTTAAGTAGCTTCTTGCAATTAGAATGTAGTGTTTCTGGATACTTCATACTAGGTAAAAACTTGTAGTAATTGACATCTATTAAACTGCAGTTGCTTATTACTTGGCAGGAGAGATTTCGTTTGGTACTGTGATGTCACAGTACTGAAAATGACAAGCCTCTTAAGATAAAGTCACCCTACGGTGTTGTGCTTTACTTGTTTGTTCATCCACATTCTAGTTTTACGATGCATATGCCAGCATACGGAGACAGGTTCCACTACCCTGCATACTTAGGAACCAGTCACGCCTGCTCATTTAATGAACGTACGGTTATAATTAACATCTACTTCTGGAGCTCGCGCTGCACATATCCACACGAAACAGTTACAGAGAACAATTAGGATCAGGTTTTATAAACAATGACAAAAAGCAAGATGAAGGAAAACTACTTACTTTTCAACTACGTTATCTTGTTGTCTGACAAAAAACTGATACAGCTCAAATGGAGAAGTCTTATCTCTGTTTAGCCAAACTGCATTGCCAGCAGTCTTTCCCAGTTTATCTCCAGTAGTACTGGTAATAAGAGGTACAGTAATTCCAAACACATCTGTTCCTGTCATCCTGAGAAGGAGAAGAGTCGCTACATGTTAAAAAAAAAACCAACAACAAAACACATCTTGGTAAAGTTGAGTAAAATGTAGACATTCTGTAAGTCTATCCTTGATATAAAGCATTTTAAAAAGCCGGGTGGGATGGAGTGGGGGAGGGGCAAAACATGCCAGAACACTGTTTCGTGAATAGTGTGTTAGGAAAAAAAACCTCACACCTTGAACTTAAAAAAAAAATTAAGTTCTTTTGTGTGCAACAAACAAGTTTACATACTTGAAATAAGTAGTTTCATGAGCAACAGCACTAGCAAATTCAAGCGTCCTGCACGTTTTGTCTTCTGCTCTGAGCACTAACTGAAGCTGCTGGTGTGGCTGGGACCCTTGCAAGGCTTTTCTGTGCCGATTCTCTAATGTCTTGTAGTAGTCGAGCACGTGCTGAAGTAGCAGCAGTGCCAGGGACTCACTGATTTGCTTGTATGCTTCTGCGAATTTTGCAAGACTCGCACCGAATTTGGTGGATAAGGAAAAGCTCATCATCGTCATGTTTCATCTTACTTCCAAGAGAAGAACTGCAACCGTCTTTACCAACATACCACAACCGCCTCTGCTTCAGTGTGGTTACACTAGACTGCGTTTGCCAGCAGAAGGCTTGTCTCGGTTTTGGCCCCCGTCTCAGGACATCCGATTTTGGTTCTTGGGCAAATGCGCTCACTAAAACAAGAACCCGTGCCTTTTGTGAAAAATCCATTAATACTTCATGGAAAAGGCTTAGAACCACGGCCGGAACGTACGTGCGCGCCAGGCTCGCGGTCAGGACAATTCAGTCCTCCTGCCAAATCCCGCGGTTCTGCCTCACGCCAGCTCTCCGAGGGGCGGCTTCCGCCCCT